CACTGTTTGGATAGCGTTCCCCAAAACCTGTTTTTATATATAGGGCTAGCGGGTACAACCCGGCCTTGCCCGTGGCACGTATGTTATAAAATAAATGTTCTCAAAAAGCTTTGAAAATGATTTTGAAACTGATCAGATGGTCAACAAACAACTTTCGTACAACCGTTTTCCGCCAATTTACCACTGTTGCGGGTGGAATTTCCCAAATCGCTGAAATACGTATTTATTAAGTTCTTATGTAGAGCTTTGAAATTAAGTTTGATGCAAATCGGACAAAACTTCAAAACTTCGCCCAAAAAATCTTTAAATCGCATTCCCCCCGAAGAATTTTGAATTCTGCGAAAAGTGTGAAACACGTCTCAAATGAATTTTCTTATAGATCTCTGGAAATGAATTTGAGCGCGAAACGTCACCCACCAAATCGTTGACCTCAATTTCCACCAAGGAGGAATGGATTTTCCTAAAAGTGTGAAATGTTCCACACTTGCGGGTGGAATTTCCCGAAACCCTGTCTTAACGTGCACCTACATCACATAAGGTAACTACAGTGAAAATTTCAGCTTCCTAGCTCTTACGGTTTGGGCTGTGCGTTGATCACCAATCAGCCAGTCAGTCAGTCAGGACAAACAGTTTTATATATAGGATTTTATAGGTACATATATTCAGGCAATTGAATGTCATCTAAAAGCACCAAAAGGCCCGAAAGGATTTCTAAGAATACATTTTTTTTAATATGCGGCTAAACTCAGCTCAGTCTGCAACTGGCTACAGGGTATCTTATCTTTGGCCACTCTCAGCTATACTTAATTGTTTATTTTGACTTTCTTATGCTTAAGCATTAAATGACAACAAAAATTGTGCAATTCCAATAAAAATAGCTAATCTAAGCAAAGTGCAAGGTACTTTGAATGCAATTTATGTTAAAAATAAAATAAGCCACAGTCAGCGAGTGAGGGGCTAAGGGGCGGAGAAGGGGAAGGGGGTTTCGGGCGTGGCTGTGGAGAGACAACGGACATGCATGCCTGAACCACTGCGGGCAGCGCTGCCGGCGTCGTCGTCGCAGCCGCTGCTGCTGCGCTGCTGCTGCTGCTCTGTGTGTTGCACACATGTGTCGCAGAAATATCAACAGCCCCTCTCCTCCCTCTCCGCCCTCTCTCGCTCCGTGTCACATGTTGCGCATTCAAGCGTGTCGAATAACAATTGCCACTTCCGAATGCTCCACAAAAAGAAAAGCAACAACAACAACAACAACAACAAGATAAAAAAAGGAGCGAGATATGAGTTTGGCATTCGCAATAATTTGTTTAAACAAAAAATCCGTTTTTATCAATATTATTGTACATTGAAAAAAAAGAAATAAAGCCGACAATAAAGACAACAAACAAGCGATAAGCGCCGGCACATAAAAAAATCAACAACAACAACAAAAGTGATAACTGGAAGCGAGAGACAAATCGCAGCTCAAATATACTATAAACAATTTGAGGAATGTCAATTTGAAATATTTCTGCAAATAGTTGAGATCTCTTGTTATGAAACCTGAAGAGCAAATTATTCAAGAGAAAATCATTATGCAAAACTATAATATTTATTTAAAAATAGGTCTTCGCACGAATGTAAAAGAATAATAAAAATATGAATTCTATATGGCGTTAATAAAACTATTTGTACAGACTGATTGACGGATTGATGATCAATTGATTTATTGATTGATGATTTAGCAGAAAACATTTGGACCTGGTAAAAAAAAAATGAGAGTAAACAAGATGCAGTGTAGAAGTGTAGAAGGTTTAAGAACAGAAACATTTCAACTATTTACTTAGGTCAAAACACAAATGGAAAACCCTACGAAGAATAAACTTGGAATTTCTTAGCTTTAGCAGTTATTAAACTAGGTTGGCATGTAGAAAGCTCATTCTAAATTATACTTGATATTATATTATAGTACTAATGTATAATTATAGTATACTATAAATAAATTCCATGTACTCCAAGCGCTTGATGAAAATAAATCTACTTAGCGACATGTTCAGTAAGTAAATAAAAAGTGAGACTAGAAAAACGAGTAGATTTAACATGCCAGCTTGTAAGAAAGTTGCCCATCGAACTAGAACTCGAACAGAACTTGAATATTTTGAAAGGAGGAGGAATGGAGAAAAAAAACTACAATATATGAAAAATAAAACTTGTCTTGTTAAAAATTTACAAAAGGTTGAATTTGACATCTCTCTATATAAAACTTTAATCTTATATCGTATCCAACGATAATCTTATATCCATCCAAGAGGGATCATCCGGCTCAAAGTATTTTACTTTTCTCATATGTGCGGAAACTGTTGATTGGATAATACGGGCGAATTAAATGGTCCCTGTGTGAAAAAAGAAATATCTATAATTTTTAGCTAAGAACTGGCAACGGGCAAGGCCGGGTAATATTCACTAGTTCTCTATAAACTCTCGTTAAACATATTTGTTAAAATTTCGACTTATTTCCAAACATTTTCAATATAATCATACTATTCATGCCGTAATCCACACGTAAATCATGTTACCCTTTATTTTGTTTAGAGTAAATCAAACAGTTGATTTGGGGCTAATTGCAAAAGCATTTGTGATCGCGGTGCCACTGTACAGAGATAAGAGAGGAAATTTGTTTTTGGCTATCGCCTTGAGGAGTTTGTTTTTTTTTATTGTTGTCTGTGAGCTGACTTTTACTATAAGCTAATAGACAAATATAAACAAACAGAGAGTTCAGGTGTACTATAGGAGAGGGCTTAACATTCATTAAAAAACACACTTACACACACACGCACGCACACACACACACACACACACAGACATGTGCACACATTTGTAACAAAAATGCCATTCATATGCTGATATCTTGTGAAATAATGTGAATCGATTTCTTTTGTCATTTGTTTGGGTGTTTCGAGGTCGTAGAACCTAATAAATTCTATTTTAGTGACTGTTATTTCACTGTAAATACAAGCAATAACCTTTATATTAAGCACAAAACAAAGCGAAACAATAAATATTTTTATTATGTGCTATTTTAAGAAAGAATTTAAGTATTCTTAATAGATATCTGTTGTTTCTGCAATGCTAATGATAATAAGCAAATAATTTAAGAGCAGTATATATTTAGAGCTCTAGCAAATCCTTTTTGTAAAACATATAAAAGCTACAGAGAAATACCATAAACTACCTATGTATATATTATGCTCGCTACAATAACTTCTACTTCTAAGTATTTATTTCTAAAATTCACCAAATAAAATACAATGATATTCCAAATGCTACTATTATTTAAATACCTCTAACAACATTGCGTGGTTATTAAAAAGTCTACTTCTAGTATTTCGAAAGGGAAACAACAAAATGTGGATCTTAGCAATGAATAATCTATTTAGAGATTGGAGCTGTACGAGCGATCACTGTATTTGCCTACAGTTACAGTTCTACGTATTTACTTTCCAAAAATAAAACAAACGAGACTTTTAATTAAAATGTCAATTCATAACGACCTTTCTGAGATGCAAAACGCTTTAGCTTTTCAGCTATTCCAGTCGCCGCCAGACTATTTCATATTACGTTTTACGCTTTTCTCTACATATGCACAGTTATTTGACCCTATTGACTGAGCCGTTATATGCCAAAAAGTTTTGATTAGCTAAATGCCAATTGGAACACGAAACCGCCATCTATCAACGAACTGTGCTGCGTTTTCAATGCCAATAAGAAAGTCGCGTGCAGAACGGCTTATAACATATTTATGAGTGCTTTAATATATGTAAGTTGTTCCTGCCTTGTTGTTGTTGCTGCTGCTGTTTTTGCTGTTGCTGCTACACGTATTTGTTGCTTGGGGTTATTTTTTTGTATCTGGTTTGCCGATAAGCGCACAAAATTCATGTTGAACGCGAGCAAAAACAACAACAACAACAGCAATGACCGAAAAGGCCGAGTGACGATTTTGTTTACATTTTTGGTGTTGTTGTGTTGTTGTCGACAGATTTTCTAATAAACCATTTAGAACCGGTTTTCTTTTTTTTGTTACCCATTTTGAAGGAGTCAAAAAGGGTATATTGCAGTAGTGCACATGTTTGTAACAGGAGGCATCAATGTATCTATATACTTAATCAGCATAAAACATTCCCCCAAAAATTTAAAAATGAAAACAATTAACATTTCAATAGGTTGTTTTTAGTGGGACTGGTGGGAAGAACCACAGCTATAGTCTAAGTACAGGGTATCTACTGGTCGGTTTTTATAACTCTTGCTTTTCCATTTTATTTTTTGTGAACGGTTTCGGCTTTGAATTTTGTTGTTGCTTTTGCTTTAGTCTCACTACCACGAACAAGAAGAAGCAACAGCGGCAGATTCGAGAGCATCAAATTTCATGCTGCACACACACACACACACACACACACACACACACACACACACACACACACACGCATACCTATGTAGTTGTGTAAAAAAAGCTTGTTTTTAACAAAAACGAAGCTCTTTCATTTTTAGGGACAGGAACAAAGACAACAACAGCAAGCAACACTTTCAATGGGCTGGCAAAGGGTAAGATTTTCGGTCATAGATTAGCATAAAGCACACACACATACATAGGCAACAAAAGCAAACCACAATGCACAATAACAATAACAATGCTCTTACTAAAAGAAAGAGAGAGCAGAGCAGGACAAAAACACCTCACTCCCTTTATTTCACCATGTTCAATAAAGGTGGTGTTGTCATTTTGGCTATTAAAAATTTAACTTGAAAATTTGGAAAAATTATGTTAACCAGCAAATTGGATAACCCAAAAAAAAAAAAAATAAATTTGATAAAGAATTCGTTGGTTTGTTCAGTATGAAATTACGTCTTTAACACCATAGCTAGCAATTCTATAATTTTCAATATTTAGCTTTTTTTTCTGCCATTTAAATTCTAGCAACACTGTTGTTGTCAATAAACCGTTCCCACTCCCTCACACACGCACTCACCTTCAATGCAAACGACGTGATCGCGTATCTGTTGGGCAATCTGTGCGTCCGGCATGGGCAGCAAATCGATTAAATCGTAAATAGCATAAATCGATGGATGAACGCTCTCGAAGCGCTGTATCTCCTGGCGTATGGCCAGCGAATTGCTTATCAGCGGCTGCGGCAGTTGCGTTACCAAAATTGAGGCAGCAGCGGCAGCGGCGGTCGCAGCCGCAGACGATGTTGACTGGCTTTGGTTGGTTGTGGGCGTATGATTATGACGCTGTTGCTGCTGTTGTTGTTGTTGGGGGAGCGCTGCTGCCGTCGTCGTCGTCGTCGCTGCCAACTGTAAATGTGGCGGCAGATGCTGATGATGATGTTGCTGAAGATGGTGATGATGATGGTTCTGTTGTAGCTGGTGCTGCAGCTGCAGTTGCTGTATATGCGACAGAGGCGCGTGTGGCTGATAATTGCTCATTGCGCACGAAATTAGCCAACGTTTTTTTAATTAACTTCAATTACTTTGCCCGAGATGCCGATACAGCCCCAAAAAAAACGTAAACTAAACGCGCACACACATATACACACACGTACACGTATACGCACAGGCAATGGCACAATTTTCGCTAAGTGAATTGACAGCACACAACAACATATTTGCCATACAGCAATTACACGAACAACAATAATTGCGAACTGTGAACGAAGATTATTATAAATTTTACACCTGTTTCACACATAAATAACGATTTTTAAAAACGCACTCAGAACACTTGCACTGACTGTGGCCCGTGCTTATGTGATAGTGTGACCAGAGGTGACGAGCATAAAAATGCCTGCACTTGAATTCTCAAAAATACCAACAAGTGCCGCCATAGTATCGAGTACTTTGTCGCAGCGCATGTCGTAATATTTATTACAAATTATTATTAAATAAAAATAACAGAATTATGGCGCAAAGCAGATTAGAAAAAATTGGCACCATTTTCACCAGGTAAGTACAGCCGGAGCTGAACCTAAACGTGTCAATCTAATAGCAAATTTATAGAGTGCAGGGCCTGCTGCGCGGCGGCGCCATGAAAGCGGAGGACAAACCCATCTGGTACGATGTCTATGCGGCGTTTCCGCCCAAACTGGAGCCACGCTTCGACAGGCCCGCCTCAGATATACCAGTGCGTAATATATTCTATGCGGAGGATGTGGTGCGCGCGTAAGTTTAATCGACATTAACACAACCATGAGCCTGGTCTAATATAAGTCTTCCACAGCAAACTGCACAAGCAGAATAAACCCCACGAAACCATTTCGCTGTTCGACCACAAGCGCGGCACACAAAGCCAGCAGTTTTTGCAGATCTATGGGCAACTAAAGTCGCAGGGCGCACTAGATGACCAGCGCATTTACGAAACGGCGCTGGATTTGCTTGCTGAGCAGCGGAAACAATCGCGTACGGATGTGGCCGAGGATAATTTGTTAGCCGGCGACAGCGAGCCGGAAGAGCCAAGCAAGAGCACACTACTCAGCGATTTCCAGGAAGCCGGTGAGCAGCAGCTGCAGCAGCAACAGACGACGCCAAGCAAAGAGAAAAAGGAGTCCACCCCGGCCATTAACATACAAAGCTTATTCAAGGATTAGGCTCCGTTTTATGTTACAAACTAAATATACAAAAATGATTGATTTTAAACCGCAAGCGCATCGTTTTGCGACTCGTGGCTGAGTTGCGTCTGTAGATTGGAGAGCTTGTTCTTCAGCACCTGCACGCCCATTATGACAATATTCTCGGGCTTTAAAGCGCCCGAAGATTCCACATTGAAGAAGAATTTGTTTGGTTTGGCCTCCCAGTTATATGGTGCCTCATACTGGTCATCTTCCAGCTCAGTATGCTCACTCTTCGGCCACTCATCGGGCTTGGGATAGAGCGTGTGTCGCATCGAATTGTCCGGATCGTATTCAAAGCAGACACCCGCTGTGGGATTCCATTTGGCGTGCTCCTTGCCGAAGCCCTTTTTGGCATAGGCGCGCAGCTTAAGCTCCTGTCCCTTGCGCAATTTGATTATCAGAATCTCATCCGTGCTCTCGCCATATTCGTTGTCCTCCTCGCCCTGATTGCGCGAAGTTACAGGCAGCACCTTCGCGTTGCTGGACTTCAAGTCGGCGGTGGTCACGTGGCGTGTCTGCTCCTCGTTGCACTTCACGTCGAGCGTGAACTCGACACTGCATTCGGGACAAAAGTCCAGGCAGATGCAATCGCGTGTATACTGCAAGCGCTCCACCACGTCGTCGGATATCAGAGGAATTAGGCCAATGCGATGTGCCAGGAACTCATCAGACAGCACCGTGGAATTTGCCTCCAGCTGCACCCAGTCTATGGCAAGTGTCGGTGTTTCGGCAATGAAAACGCGACGCAGACTGTTCGCCACACTCAATTCCGTGTCCTCCAGCACAAACTTAACATTGTCGTCCGTCAGCTCGGTTATTTGCACAGATGGTTGATTAGCATACGGCATTTTTACCGCACTTTTTAATAGTTAAGGAAAATAAACACAAATAAACAGCACTAAAATGCCGAAAAGCGGTAAGAGGCGATAAAGCGATAGCAACTATCGCGAAGAAGGCTACTCATTACATTCTATCGATATATGAATAGCAACTATCGAATACCAGAATAGGACAGCTCAAGCCAGAAAATAATGTTTTGAAGACTGGCAACTTAACATAAAAAATGCAGCTAGTCGGGACTAACACATTTTGATGTTGTTATTAAGCAAATAATAACTGTTTTCTGTCACATTATCCCGATTTGTCATAATACAATTAGACTCGATACAATGTATCGAATGGCAGCCTCGATTTATTTAATATTTTCAACTAATCTATTCGTCAAACGTTTTGTAACACTAAACAGTTCATGAATCGCGCGACAATGTTGCGAATTTCTGCTCGGTTTTATTGCAAAATTGCAACTCAATCAAATTTTAAGGCGGCCGAGTATAAAACTAAAATAAAGAAAGATAATAAAGTGGATTTTACGCAGCTACTGCATCCGACAAAGGTGCCACAGACGCCCGTACCGGCGGCTTTTCCGGACACCTCCCAGAACGCCATCGAAATAGATACCAAAACAATTCAATTGCTAGAGCGTTTATCCTTGGTGGATCTGGACAGTGACCAGGCACTGGCCACGCTCAAAAGTAGCATACAATTTGCGGATAAAATAGCGCACATAGATACGCAAAACGTGCGCCCACTGTACACGGTGCTGGAGGGACAGCAGCTGCAGTTACGCAACGACCAGGTCACAGCGGGCGATAGCCGAGCAGAGCTACTGCGTTGCGCCAAGCGGACAGACGAGGATTACTACGTGTCACCGCCGGGCAACATACCGCTGGAGCAACAATAAGGATGTCCAATCGCCTGGGCCGATGCCTCAAAGCTCTGGAAACCACTGGCTTCTTGCGCTGCTCAAATGATGCAGCCACTACCCTTATAGAGCTGTTGACCCATGGTTCTGCTTATGCCCAACAGCTGCAGCAACATTGGCTCAACATGCGCCACTTGGCTGTCAACTTGGGCAGCGTTTCCTCTAACGAATCAGTAAGCCAGTCTCGTTTCAACTTTGTGCATGGCCAGCAATTTCGCCAGCAGCTGCAACAGTTGCGCCAGGCACATCCCAGCAAAGCCAAGTGCCCCACGCTGCTGAAGCAACAACTTAGGTGCGCATCCTACAACACGCCAGGCCACACAATCTTCCAGCATGCGCAGCCTGTCACACAGTTGATCACAGATTTCTATGTGGAGCCGCATCGTGGACTGGAGCACTTTTACAATGTGCAGCGCGAGAGTAAAATCTGGTGGATGCGCTACTCCTCGAATCCCAGTCGCTATGCCATTGTGCCGCAAACCGAATTGGAACAAGGTGCAGGCTGCCAGGCGATAGACATACGCGCTGCCTTCGGGGATGCGGGCGCAGTGACTGTAGAGCAGCTGAGTCTAGTACCGCTGCCGGAGCATCAGGATTTCCAGCTGCCCGATGCGCGCACTGGCCAACTCCAACTGCCTGCAGTCATACGCTCTGTGATCGAACTGGAGACAGCCAGCTGTGCCCTACTACTGGACGGCTGTGATCACGGACGTGAGACACGTTCGCTGCTCCTCAACCGCCTGCTGGCGCCTTATCAATGCGCCATTGCAGGCATACAAAAGACTGAGCACAGCTCACAGGATCTGCGCGACTTGTGTGCCCATCTGGCGGATGTGCTGCAGCGTGCAAGTTTACGCATGCAGGGAACTGGCTATGTGCTGGCCGGGAATAGGCTACAGCTGACGCAGCAGCTAGAGCTATACGACTGTCTGGGCGTACCCTATGCTCTGCTCCTGGATGAGCAGCAAACGCTGAGCAATGGACTGCTGCGGTTGCGCAGCCGCGACACGCAGCTGGCGGAGACCGTGCACATAAGCGATTTACCCGACTATTTGTTAAATATTTTTAAAAACTATTAAATGCCTAATATACATACATATGGATATTGATAATATAATAGTTTTTGAAATTTCTATATTTAAAGGAAATACAAAATGTTCAATCTGCTCTGGATACTATCCAAGCATTGACTCCCCAACGCTGTCATTTAATATACACATCTTAACCAGTTATACATGATAATAATAGTTATAATACAATCCATAAAAGTTTACATAAAATCGCATAGATATTGACGCACATTGAAGCCAACAACTTTGCCTATATAAATGACAAATTCAAGACCCACGGTGCACTGCAGCTTTGCGGAGCCATCCATAATGTTTTGCTCGCCCGAGACAAAGCTGAGCAGTTTGAGATGCACCAGCGTGGAGATTTGCGACAGCAGATTGCAGGTAAGGCCCACCTTTTCCTCGAGTATGGCATAGAAAATAGCCAGCAAGCGATCAATGCTAAAGGATTTGGGACCCAACGTTGTGGACATCTTCTCCGCATTCTGTTAAACAGTTAAACAGCATTAAGCTACATAGCTGAACATAGTTTACAAGGTGGCTTACCTTGGCTCTGGCATTGACCGTCTGCATGCGCTTGCGCTGCTTGCCGTGTTGCTTGACAAACAGTCGCTTGTCCTGCTTGGGCGAGTTGTGGCTGGCCAGGAAGGCGGCAATGAGCAGAAATTTGCCATAATAGGGCAGCTCCAGCGATTGGGCCAGCTGGCGTACACTCTGATCCTCAATATTCGGCTCACCCAGCGGTTTCTCAATGCGCATGTAGATCTGGGTTAGAGCCGAGCGCAACGGTCCAGCTATGTGCCGCCAGAGACGCGACACATCCGTGCACTCGACGCTGCCATCCAGCACGGGCTGCATGTATATCGCAAAACATTTACGGGCGGTCAACCGCAACTCTGGCACATCGCGACAGGCCTTGTAAAAGACACTGAGAAAGAGATTCAAATAGTTGCTATAGAATTCCGGCGTCAAGGCTTGCTCGCACAGGGCCAAACGCTGGCCATCGCCTGTCAGCTGTTGTTGCTGCAGCATTTGGTGACGCATCTGTTCAAAATCATTGCTGAGTATGCGCAATGCCTCTGCCTTGTTATACTGAGCCAGATGCAAGCTGATGATCTCACTGAGACCCGTCTTGTTGTAGTACTTCTCAAAGGGCAGCTGCGAGAGCAGCAGGACACACAGATTGAGACTGGTCAGCTGCTGCAGGCGCAATAGCACAGGCAATACGTTGGCATCCATATCACGCAGCCGCTCCGCATTGTCAACAGCTATGAGGAATCCTCGGGCGCTGCTTCCATGCCAGCGACGCAGTTGCTCCACAAATTCCAGCATATTGTCGGCACGCAGCGGGTTCGCACCCAACTGCTGCTCTTTGTGTGCCAGTGCGTCCAGCACATTTTCCAGCAATATTTTAGTCGTATAGCATTCGATGGCATTCAGCTGGGCAATGCACACCTTTTGTTGCTGCTCGCATTGCTGGAGGAAAGCTTTGGTCAGCGAGGTTTTGCCTGTGCCGCTGTGGCCGTATATATAAATGGCAGGCGGATAGCTCTCATTGCAGTCCCCAATTAATTCGCTTAGAGTTGTTATGACCGTCTCGCGGCAAGGAAATTGCGGTTCCAATGCAGCGCAAATCCGCTCCATTTGTTTACTCTTTATCAACTACTGCAGCTGGTTGCATTGCGCGCCAAAAACCAGGGATGCGCTGATAACTGTAAAGCTGCTGATCCAGAGGCGCGAATTCCGCTCCTTTTGTTTACTTTTATCAATTACCGCAGCTGGCCGCATTGCGCGCCAAAAACCAGGGATACGAGATAACTGTAAAACTGCTGACCCAGATGCTTATGTAACGATATATCGAAAAAGAAATCATCGTTATTACAGGGAATTATATTTTTATTTTATAAGCAAAAAGCCAACAAAAATACCTACTTTTTGCTGGAAAAGGATTTTTCCCTCCCAGTTTAGGTTAGAAAAAGAAACAGTGTAATATGTTTAGTACTTTGTTCAAACCCGACATAACGGTTTTATTTAAAACATCTGCCCGGCGACAGTGCAAGCTTTCGTATAACTTATATTTTATTATCTTTATATCAGCTATTAACGTTGTAAATGCTATAATTAAGTGCACTTGCAAAATTTAACGTTCCGTTTTGCAGTTAAAACATCACGAGTTGCGACCCACAAACATCGAGTGAATAGCAGTGAATGTTCGCTAAAGCGTATATCGATAAGCTCTGGTTTTACGCTACACAACACTAGCCACCTAAGGTGATTAATTCTTGCATTTTACCAAATTTGTGAACGCTTGAAAAACTTTGCGTTTTCTTTCAATTTGGCGCAGGTAAACCAAAGTCTCACTTTGCACCAACGCTAGCTTAATCGTGTAGACGGCCCAGAGTCCGCGATTAAAACTAGAAATAACACAGCGACGTGCACGCCGAAGCCTGCTAAAAACAACGCCCAAAAAGAAAACGAAGGCAACTACGTGTGTGGTTCGAATTTTAAGCTGCATTTATTAAATAAGTTTTGCAATGGCCGAGAAATACACGTTTGGCAACACGCCGGCTTCCATTACGTGCCACGCCTGGAACAAGGATCGCACGCGTAAGTGACACATTTGTTGAGCAATACAACAAAATAAGAGTTCTCATTTAATCTATGACTCACTTTTGACTCAGAAATTGCTTTATCGCCGAACAACCATGAGATTCATATCTACAGCCGGGAGGGCAGCGGCTGGAAGCTAGCCGACGTTCTTAACCAGCACGATTTGCGCGTTATGGGCATCGATTGGGCCAAGAATACCAATCGCATAGTCAGCTGTGCCGCCGATCGTAATGCGTACGTCTGGACTCAGGCCGATGATGGCAAATGGAAGCCAACGCTAGTTTTGTTGCGTATCAACCGGGCCGCTACCTGCGTCAAATGGTCGCCGGCAGAGAACAAATTTGCTGTTGGCTCAGGAGCGCGACTCATTTCGGTCTGTTACTTTGAATCGGAGAACGATTGGTGGGTCTCGAAGCACATTAAGAAGCCCATACGCTCCACGGTCACCTCGCTGGACTGGCATCCGAATAATGTGCTCCTAGTGGCTGGCTCCACGGACTACAAGGTGCGCGTTTTTTCGGCTTTCATCAAGGACATCGAAGAGCCACCAACAACAACATCCTGGGGCAATCGCAAACCGTTGGGTCAGCTCATGGCTGAGTTTAAGAACTCGTCCACCTCTGGAGGCGGCTGGATCAATAACGTGAGCTTCTCGAGCGATGGCAACAAGGTGTGCTGGGTGGGTCACGACAGCTGTGTGAGCATTGCTGATGCCACCAATGGCAATACGGTGATACGCTGTCGCACCGGCTATTTGCCTTTCCTCTCCTGCGAATGGGTCTCACCCACATCGGTTGTTGTGGCCGGCTACAGCTGCGTGCCACTGCTGTACAGCCTAAGCGCGGACAATAAACTTGTGCTGAGCGGCAAGCTGGATAAATCCCAGAAACGCGAGGCTAGCGGTATTACAGCCATGCACTTCTTCAAGTCAATGGATTGCAATATGCGCACAGAAAACACGGATGTGGTCGTGGACTCCATACACCAGAATGCTATAACCAGCATACGTTTGTATGCCGGGGATAAGGCTAACGCCAGCAAGGTATCAACCTCTGGTGTCGACGGTCAGCTGGTCATCTGGACCGTCGAACAGGATGGCATTAATGGCGGCATGCGTAATATGCAGATCTAAGTGCATCCTGTTGTTTTCCCTCTTGTATGTTTTGTGTATTTTTATCTGATCTGCAAGTTATTTTTTTTTGTTAAGAACAAAATGTTAATTGCAGGCCAGGCGCACAGTATTTTGCCAAAATGTTTTCAAAATCGCTTTTCCAATTGTTTATCGTATGAAAGCTTTTTATATATAATAATTTTTAACGCAAATAACTAAAGAGATTATGTTCTTTAATTCTTCCAACTCATAACATATGCTGTGTATGTATTTTAAACTGTTTCTTTTTATCTATAGCAACAAGTGAAACTAATTTTATTACTTAAAAACGTTTTTTAAAATGGTTTTTAGTTTGGGACATACATTAAAACGGTTTGTTACTAGTATCGATGCAATAGACATAAAAGAATTACATTTGTATTATGAAAAACGATACTTATGATAAAATACTGTTTAGAGGATTGGCCTCTATTTTCCCATATAATGTAAGCAGCAATTACATTTTCATTTGCCGCGGATAATATAGAATAAACAGAATTAACAGCTACCAAACAGGTGCTTACTAGGTGAGCTGTAAAGTAATGAGTACTTTTTCGTGTAACTCAAATGTCATTCCACTCAAATAAATAACTCATTTTTCGATGCTTGTGGCGGCAAGCCGATTTGTAATTTCGATAGTATTTGGCTTATTGCTGTGCGCGCTGGATTTTCGCGACTTGCATTTTAAAAATAGTTATGGTTTTTATTTGCTAATTTGTCATGCGCCTGCTACGTTGCTACGCCACCAAAGCCGGTCGGGAACATTACGCCAGCAGTAGCGTTAAGATATTTCGCAAGCTTCCGAGCAAAACTATACTCAAATCAAAACATGCGCTGCCAACGACAACGACTTCGCCGGCAAACGTTGAATACGCTGAGAATTTGGTAAAAGTGCAGATGATATCGCAGAATTTACATCGCCAAATCTTTCCACAGGCTAAAAGAGAATACCCGAATTCAAAGCGCGTCGCTGCTAAATTGTATAATGCAGAATTGCAGCGCCATGGCATTGATGTGGCCAGCACAGAGGCCATGCCAGATGTGGAACTGAAGCTGCCGCCGTTGCGCGGCAAAAACATTGAAGAGCACTTTCATGCCATAGCTAAGGAGCAAGTGGCTCCGTATGAGGCACTACTGCAACCACTAGTTGCCTGCCAGCAACTGCCTGCAAAGCCCAAACGTTGGGCCTTCTATGCAGGCTGGACAGCCTACGATCCGGTGGACGGCAGCGCCACGCCTGTGCCGCAGCCTCTAGAAAAAGGAATCATTTTCGATGTGGAGGTCTGTGTGCGTGAGGGCAGCGCCCCTGTGCTAGCCACAGCGGTAAGCACCAAGTGCTGGTACTGCTGGGTCAGTCCGAAGCTGACAAAGCATCGCTTGAGTGTGCCGCAAGTGGAGCCCATTGATGTGGATCAAAATGAGCGACCACATTACACGCTGGACGAGCTCATACCGTTGGGCTGTGGTGAACCGGGTCTGGTCGTGGGCCACAATGTGTCCTACGATCGGGCGCGCTTGCGAGAGCAATATTTGATTGAGGACACAGGCACACGCTTTGTGGACACCATGTCGCTGCACATGTGCGTCAGCGGGGTCACCAGCTACCAGCGCGCAATGCTCAAGTCTAAAAAGGAGCCGGCTGAAGAGGATTCGGACTGGCGGGAACAGAGTGCGCTCAATAATCTGGTCGATGTGCATCGTCTGTACTGTGGCGGCGAGCCACTGTCCAAGGAGCCGCGTAATATCTTTGTCGAGGGCACGCTGGAGCAGGTCCGTCAGCAATTTCAGTCGTTGGTGAACTACTGTGCCGGCGATGTGGAAGCCACACATCGCATTTTAACCAAGCTTTATCCCATGTACGCCGCGCGTTTTCCACATCCCGTCACTCTCGCGGGCATGCTGGAAATGGGCTCCGCCTATTTACCTGTCAATTCCAACTGGGAGCGCTATATACGTGACGCGCAGTTAAGTTACGAAGATCTCAGCATTGAGGCCAAGTACCATTTGGGTCGTCGCGCCGAAGAGGCTTGCGCACTCCTCCATGATGCGCAGTATCGCCAGCATTTGTGGCTCTGGGATGAGGACTGGAGTGTGCAGTCGCTCAAGCTTAAGCAGCTGCCCAAGCGCAAGCAGCTGCCCACTGTCCAGCTGCCGGAGCAAGAGCTGAGCCCAGAACAGTGCCGGTTGCAGCGCAAGTTCCAACATCTTTACGATCAACGCGCGCTGCTGCCGGCACGACGGCCACTGCTGCCAGGTTATCCGCAGTGGTATCGCAAACTTTGCCGCAAGCCGCCGACAAGCTACACCGAGGAGCAGCCGGAAGAAGCGAATGTGGAGCCTTGGACGCCCGGCGCCTGTGATATTAGCACTGGCATGCAAATCGCGCCCAAGCTGCTGTCCCTTTGCTGGGAAGGCTATCCGCTGCACTATCAACGCGAACATGGCTGGGGCTTTCTGGTGCCCTTTCGCAGCGTCGAGTGTAGCGGCAACAGCAAGCTGCCCATTGAGCAGCTGCTCACACGCTGTGCCATACCAGAGTTCGCGCGTCAGTATGCAGCTGGTGAGGATGGAGAACTGGCCATGGACATGCTGCCCAAACAAATCGATGAGCACCTAAGCAAGCGACAGTTCTACAAGAAGATCTCACAGCGACAACAGCACTTGGAGCAGCAGTACAAAGGTAAAACTTAAATTTCCTATTGACAAAAGAAAAGATCTTCACATTAGTAAAAATCTTATTTCTCTGCCCACGCAGGTTCCGGTGTCTGGTGCAATCAGGTGCTGGACGATTGCTGTTTCTTTCTGAAGCTGCCGCACAAGAACGGACCATCGTTTCGTGTAGGTAATCCTCTATCTAAGGATTTCTTAAACAAGTTCTCGGAGCATGCGCTGAGTAGCGGTGATCCCACGTGTCAGGCGGCGGCTCGCGTCATTGAAATTGCGCGAATGATGTCCTATTGGCGCAACAATCAGGATCGCATACTCGGCCAGATGGTAGTCTGGCTGCAGGCGGACCAGCTGCCCAGCGGGCTGAGAGTTCATGCAGAGCGTATGGCTTATGGCGCCATTGTGCCACAGATTGTAGTCGCCGGTACATTGACTCGTCGCGCCATGGAGTCCACTTGGATGACCGCCTCCAATTCGCGTGCCAATCGCATTGGCTCTGAATTGCGCTCGATGGTGCAGGCGCCGCCTGGTTATAAGCTAGTCGGTGCCGATGTTGACTCACAGGAGCTGTGGATAGCCTCGGTGCTGGGCGATGCCTATGCGCATGGCGAACACGGCGCCACGCCCCTAGGCTGGATGACACTAAGCGGCAGCAAGTCCAATGGCAGCGACATGCACTCCATAACCGCCAAAGTTGTAGGCATTTCACGCGATCATGCCAAGGTGCTCAACTATGCGCGCATCTATGGAGCTGGCCAGCAGTTTGCCGAGACGCTACTCCAGCAATTTAATCCTACGCTGAGCGCCACTGAAGCCAAGGCCAAGGCCATGAAAATGTTTGCCGCAACGAAGGGCAAGCGTGTCTATCGACTGCGTGAAGAGTTCCATGACGAACAGGAGGATAGGCCGTAGGTCTATCTATGCTATCAATTGAATCCACTCTTAACCCTATTTATACCCAACAGCTACAGCAGCTACGAGGCCAAACGGCTGGCGCTCCAGCGTAATCGTCCAGTAGGCGAGGTGTTTCATCGTCCCAGCTGGCATGGCGGCACGGAGAGCGCTATGTTCAATCGTCTGGAGGAAATAGCTACACGCGAGCAGCCGGAGACGCCGTTTCTGAACTGCCGCCTAAGTCGTGCCCTGGAATCACATGGCGAATCGGATCAGGAACAGCGTTTTTTGCCCACCCGCGTCAATTGGGTGGTGCAGAGCGGTGCTGTGGATTTTCTGCACTTGATGCTGGTCAGCATGCGTTGGCTTCTGGGTACGCATGCCCGCTTTTGTTTGAGCTTTCACGATGAGCTACGTTATCTGGTCAAGGATGAACTAGCCGCCAAGGCAGCGCTGGCCATGCACGTCACCAATTTGCTGACGCGCTCTTTTTGCGCCTCACGCATTGGCCTGACGGACTTGCCCATGTCTGTTGCATTCTTTTCTTCCGTGGAGGTAGATACTGTGCTGCGCAAGGAGTGCACCCTGGACTGTCAGACGCCCTCCAATCCTCATGGTCTGCAAATTGGCTACGGCATTGCGCCTGGCCAAAGCCTGAGCATAGAAGACGCTATTGCCAAGGCTGGCGGCCATGATCTAAGTCAATGGCCCTGGCTTAAGCGGCCTAAGGAGTTGAGCTAGCCTCTGGAAAGTCTTCAGTTAGTTGTTTTGTTTTTGTTATGGATAAGTCGAAAGGAGGAGCAGGCTGCTCTACAGAGCTAGACGTCTATCATAAATAAATGACCAAATTACTTTCAAACAATTATATAAAGTGTAAAGTATATAAAGTCTAAATCTGGCACAGGTAACTTCCTCATAAAAAACTTCCTGATATAAAACCTTTCACACTCGTTTTTCCCCCGTGGTGACCGATTTGTCAATAATCTCCAAAACAATTTAACTTATATTGTGCTCCCATTTATACGCAGGTGGGTGGATTTCATAAAATGGGAGAAGAAAAAGTTAATGTTCGCACAGAAAGTGAAAAACACGTCTTAAATGATTTTTTATGTAGATCCTTGGAAATGAATTTGAGGGCGAAATGTTACCCACCAAATTTTTGGATTTTTCAAAAAGTGTGAAACACCCCTCACATGAATTTGAACAAAGATCTTTCAAAATGAGTTTGAGGCCGATCGGATGGTAAACAAAAAAAGTTGCATACAATCGTTTTTCGCGATTTTTCCACACTTGCGGGTGGAATTTCCCGAAATCCCGTCTTAACGTGCACCTACATCACATAAGGTAACTACAGTAAAAATTTCAGCTTCCAGTCAGTCAGTCAGTCATTAAGTCAGTCAGTCAGTCAGTCAGTCAGGACAAACAGTTTTATATGTAGAGATAGTGCTTATATTGTTCTATTTCTTTATTATTGTAGCAGCTTAATATATCTAAATTTTGAATACATGATAAAATAATCGCGAGTTAATACCAGTTATAATACCATATATAAGTATGTACATCATATGCCTAAGAAGAATGTTCATAGTACATAATCTCGGCAGCCCCTACAAATTCTGGCCCAGGTTTTCGATCTCGTTCAGAAAATAGAGCATATCGGACTCTTCGAGACAGGAGTTCTGCAGCACGAGTCGGAAAAAGTTTGGTAGCTTGCGCAGCGGCTGATATGTGATCATCATGGAGCCCTTCTTGATCATGGCCTCCTTAATTTTGGGTGCCACCTTGTGTAGTTTATCAAAGAACTCCTGATTGCGTTCCATTTGACGCAGACTGGGCGGCACATACCAGAATGTTATGTTGGTGCACTCCGGTCTCTCAAGGACTAGCTCGAAGCCTGGACGCTCACGCAGCTTGGCCGTAAAGTACTCGGACATTTCAAAGACTTGCTCCACATGCGCCTCAAAGCCCTGGCTGCCCTTGGCCTTCCACATGAACCAGAACTTGAACACATCTGCACGACGGCCGCACTGAATGTGCTTGTCCCCAGTGTCAAAGGAGGTGTCATAGAACTTATCCTTCTGGAACAGATACGCGGCATTTGTCGAGTGGCACTGGCCCAGGATTTGGGCATGGGGCGTCAGAAAAGTCGAGCACTGTTGCGAGGCGGACAACAGCTTGTGTGGATTCCATGTAACCGAATCGGCGCTACAAAAGGACAATTTAATAATAACCAATATATTCTGGGAACTTGGCTCGTCCTCTCTTCAACTTACCGTTCGATTCCATTGAGCAGCTGACGATACTTCTTGGACATGAGCGCACCGCCGCCCCAGGCAGCATCCACATGCATCCACATATTGTGTTTGCGGCACAGCTCTGAAATGCCCACCAAATCATCGAAGGCACCCAGCACAGTGGTGCCCGCTGTTGCGGATACCATCAGTGGCTGCCAATTGTTGTCCAAGCACAGCTGAATCTGATCCTCCAAATCACTGAGACGCATCTTGCCCAGCTCATTGGTAGCTATCTTGCGCACATGCTCGCTGCCAAAGCCCATAAACATGGCCAGCTTTTCTACGGAGTAATGTGCATCCTCCGACGTGAATATAATCAAGGGCTTGGCATTAAACAGGCCATTTTTCTGTGGAAGATAAAAATGGGAATAAAAAGATAAATCTATTTGACTGATGGAGAAAAAGTTTTTTAGTTTGCTTTAGTAATAATAAAGATGAATTAAAAAAATATATTCCCTTTGCAGGGTTCGAACTCGTATCTGATCGCATTACTTGCTGCCGACTCTACTCAACAGCCACACCAGCCAAAAAAAAAATAGTTTCCTCGGTAGGGTTCGCATTCGTAATTGACCGCACAACTTGCCGCTGCCTCTGCTCAACAGCCATACCAATAATTAAGAAAAAAACCCATTAAAATAGCAGCACAGAAAGCAATACAATCGAAATTGCAATGCTGTTAATATAATTCAAATAAGACGCTCATGGAATGTGCATGAAATTATTGGAATTTGCGGTTGCTGCCGCTGATACGAGGAAAGCCAAAACACATTTTCTTAAATAACTTCTGTGTTTCTTAGCCGATCTTGATGAAATTTTCTACAGTATCTACATCTTATTGTGCTTTTGAATATTTGTGTATTCTCAAAAAGTCAATTGCATATAAATTGTGGCTTAAATTGATGGGCAATACAAGTTGGATAAATAACTTAATTTATAGCTATGAGGTAGTAGCGGGGAGGTGGTGATAGTTAAAAAATGGAAATATACTTGATATATACATACTATTCTGGAAGCTACATGTCTAGTTTGGTGACTCTAGCTCACACTATTTACCAGAATTGCTCAAAAAACAGGATTTCGATATCGATTTTCATCGATTACTTGGAAACAGGGCAAGCTATCGAATATCAGAAACAAACTCGATCTGCGCGGGCACTAGGAGTACCTACAGCTAATAATTTCAAGTCTCTAGTTTTTATAGGTTCTGAGATCCTTGCGTTCACAGATACGGACAGACGGATATGGCTAGATCGACTCGGCTGTTGATGCTGATCAAGAATATATATACTTTATGGGGTCGGAGATGCTTTCTTCTGGCTGTTACATACATTTGCTCAAATACATTATACCCTTTTTACCCATTTTTAGTGGATTCAGGGTATAAAAAGGGAACCTAGGAAATTTCAAGCTTTAAAATATCTTCAGCACTCTTTAAAACAATAGAAAATATTTTTGGCAATTAGAAGAAACTTTTAGGAGAAATTTATTCCAAATCAATAGAAAATTTGTTTGTTTGCGCCTGCGACTAATATTTTTGAGCGTGACTGTAATATATTGTTGAATTTTTATGCACAAAAGTTAATCAAAAAAACTTGTATTAACGAGCAAATTAAAAACCTATCTAAACTGAAGGGAAATCTGCCACGGAATAAGAGCAAAAATGGTTGAATTATAATATAGAAATTATTATAAAAAGCGTTGAAGCTGAATGATTGGAATTTTAGTAAGCCTCAAGCAGTGACTAATATTCTGGAACGCAAGTGTGCACAAATGTTTAAGGAATGCGCCACAAGAGTGATTCTGTGCCTTCAATCGGGAATATTGAAAAATAAAAACTTGCTAAGCTAGCACTTAAATAAATATAAGGAGGAAAAGCACTAGAAAATGAATTTAATTCAGAAACACAAACTTGGCTACACTTATGGCTAGAACGTGAGTCTAGCTAGTCGCTAACTGTGACTAATATCCTACACCGCAACTGTACTTGAATGCTGCCTGTTACGTTATCCAAGTTTGCGTCTAGGTCGTGTGCATTTGACTTCCGGTTGATTTGGCTTCAAGCACTCGGAACAAAGAAAACGGAACCCAAAGTGGTTTTGGCCTTCGGCCCCATGCTTACCTTGGACTCGGGCGCATATTTGTAGCGTGCACAGCTGATTGCATAACCGTTGGCTATCGAGCCGCCTGGACAGAAGATGCCATCGCCGTGGCCATTGTTTGGAAAGCCAACAATGCGTCGCATCTCGCCGAGCACCTGTTCCTCCATGAGCGTAAAAACGGGCGCCACCTCATAGGTATAAACACTGGGATTTAGTGCATCGGTTAGCCACTGACCCACCAGCGCATAGGGATCCACGCCCGAATACAGTTGATTGATGAAATACGGATGGCCCGTCTTCACGGAGAAGCGTATTGTTTCACGGAGCAGCTGGCGCAGCTTATCCGGCGACTCGCCCTTCTCGCGCAGCTCAAAGTCGAAGAGCTTGCGCAGCTCGGCGGGCTCATGCCACTCGACCACCTTGGAGGATCGATTGGTGCCCTGAAAGACGGCCAGCTTTATAATCTCATCCACGCAGGCGCGTATGAAACCCTCAAATTCAGCCGCAGGATGACTCGCCACAAAGCTGGCCAGCCCATTGACGTTGCCATTGGTATTGCAGTTGGAGGAGGAGGATGAGGAGCTAACGAAACTGTTCATCATTTTGTTTGGATTGCCGTATTCAACTGTCGTCTTGGCCACATCGATCACAGCTGCATCACTCGATGACAACGTGGTTGTTGTCAATGTTTTGGCCATGCTTGCCAAATCCTCAACGTCCGGCGCACTGCTGCCCTCATTGTAGGGCTTATATATAGAATTCTTGAAGTGATGTGTTGTGGGAAAAGTTTCGCTGGCCAGCATTTTGTTGGCACCACCTACACTGTGGCTGATCTCGGTTTTTTGGGGAAGATCGATTGGGACCGCGACTCGTGTACGAATTGCCTGCGCTTTTTATTATTATTATTATTTTGGTTTTTTGCTTTTATCTGCGGACACTGCTCTGATCCCTGGCCGTATTGGGTGCACACTTGACAATGATTCTGAAGTTCACTACCGAACTGAACGAATTGTTGTGGTTCTTGCTGCTTTTATAAAAGCTGACACACACACACACACACTCGTACACACTCGTACACTCGTACACTCGCGCACACACGACTTACATAAAGACAATGCCGACGCTCTCCCAGCAAGATCGCTAAACCCGCTCGGTTCTCGGCTGCGTTTTTTATATCTTATTTAATTTTTTTCATACCCGCTAGTCATTTACTTACAATATGGGAAAGTAAAAAAAAAAACGCACACACCTGCAGCTCAATCAATCCTAAACCCAAACCGAATCCCAACATCGATCTCATAATTACTCGAGCGAGAGGCAAGTTTCCAACTTATTTGCGATCATGGAATGTTTTAAAGTTGAGCTTAACATTTTTAAATGCGATTAGTTTTTCTTTTCAAATAGGTTTTCCTTTTATCTCCATCTATAAATTTTCTATTGCTTCGAAGAACGCAAAGAACGACCCAAAGTTCGTTGATAACTAAGGGAAGATCTCATGAAAATTATGATTTTTTCGTTTCATAATTGAAAACCCAAAGAACGTCTGTTGTTTTCTATTATCAGGAAACACCAATATAGTATAGTGAGCAATTTAATCTGTAATAGTTTTAATATTATTTTTATTTGTTGCCGAATTTTCAAATAAAATAAAGGTTACTGAAATATAGTCAGGATAAATTCACAATTGAATGAATTGGTTTTAAATATATATATATATATATATATATATATTTTATAAAGCAAGTGCTTTTTTCTCAGGGTTATTATTATATGTTAGTGTTTTATGAATGTCATTATACTATATATGTTTGTCTATATATTATATAACGATCACGCTTTATATACATTTCTCTATAAGCTATTAGATATTAAAGTGCAAGTAGAATGTTGAGTTTGATAGAAATTTTCCGGTCTTCTTTCACCACACACGATCGTGTTAATGGGTTAGGTTCTATATAAAATAATTGACAGTATCTAAATGATATAAAAAATAAATGAAAATGCTTCAAGATAAATGGATTAAAAATACGAGGCATAATATTTTAGCAACAAGTAGATTCCTGGTACGAAACCCAAGGCTATGTCGAAGGCCACAGTAGCCAGAGTTATTATAAGTTGATTCGATAGAATTGTAATTATAGCAAAAATATATTAAAATATTACATTAGTTAAGTGAGCAGCTTTAGAACTGACCCTGTAAGATGAATAATTACTTTATAGGTAAATTATGACCCATTCTTTTTTGAATCAACTCTACAGGCACAATCAAACTATGCTGGAAAGAAGATAGTATCATAAATTATAATATTTATAATAAAATATACATATATGATAAAAAATCACATAGGTGTCTCTTTTTTTGTTGTCATTGATGACGTTTTATTTTTCAATTATTGGGGGTTTTTCATTTACTCATCGTCGTATACTAAGAATTTTATTGGACTGAATGAAAAAAAAGATAGTTTTAATTGAGCAAATTATGTTGCTTGCAAAACGAATAGTGCTATATGATGGAATGATGGAATGTTAGGGGTATTCTGGTGCGTTTTTTTCGTAGAATTTCGTTGGTTGGTAAATTTGATTTGTCCATGTAATGCAATTATGTAGTTGACCAATTTAAAAGCTAATTGTGTGAGACGCCGTGTTGCCTTCAAAGAGGTATCTAATGTGAATTGTTGTTGGCAGATTTCTCTCTCATTAGCCACAATCAACGGCAAATTAAATGCAAATTCAAATGAGTAATTTTTGCAATTGCTGTGGGTGTTTTTTTTTAAATCTTTTTTATATATTTTTCTTTTGAATGAATGGCTTGTTGTTAACGAGTTAATTGCGCAACTGAAACGTGATGTGCAAATGCTCGAAAGATTTGAGGAGACGGAGAGAACTCTATGTTTAAATTATTGCCGTAGGTCGCGTAGATCATGTGCACATAGTAATAGTCTCTATAAGAAGTTGGTCAAGACTGCGAAAGAAAGTCTTTGCAAGTTATGGTTTTTCTTTTTTAATTATGGTTTATTATCTAAAACAACTGTCTCTGTTTCATTTTACACTGCAAAAGCATTTGCTTTATATTATTTATATATTGCCGAGAGTTCTATCAGTTAAGTTGTTTCTCATTCTGCAAGCAAAAGTTAAGGAACAGATCTTGGCCAACGGCCTTGACTGTCGTTAGACTGTCGAAGTCTCTATAAATAAAAGCGAAATTACACACAAGAATTTCACAAGTGTGCACATAATCAAATAATTACATATAGTATTTATATATACATATACATTTAATATGTATTTTACTTCTTTATATTTGATTACTCAACGAAATTCTCGTTTAAGATCCATTTGTGACGTTTAGTTTTCTTTTGGGGTTCTTTTTATTATTTCTGGATCTGATCGGATTGTGACGCAGTTTTATGCCACGGTTATTCAACCTGCAATACATACCCTTTTTTTAACCGCATGTGCTTTCCCATCAATGTAAACACAAATCGTTTTCGTAATAAAAATACCAATAAATAATTAAACCGTTTTAAAGGTGTCGAATCTTGAATACCCTTCAACATCAAACTTTTGTAGTATTCATACATTTTAAGCATACTTAAATTAAAATCTTCCAATTTCACAGCTGATTGAAAGCTTCACATTCTGAAAAGCCTAATTATTCATTACAGTTTACTCTGTTTTTAGGTATAAATATATATATTTTTAATATTAAGTTCGATTAAATAAGATCATAAAATAAAGGTAGTATCTACTATTATATAAATTTATTATTAAATGTTTTAAGCAAATAAAGATGTCCTATGAAAGACGACAGATAAAGTTAACCTAAACCAATTCATTTTCTACACAAAAGGGAAAATCTGGGTTTACTTTTTTTTTTACTATATGTCACTTTTTAATTAAATAGCTTATTTTTCTATTTTTAAATATATATGCACTGCGAAATTGGGTGTTGTCTATAAATATATTGCCCCTAGAAATGAGCTTCGTATGTATGTACATAAAACCATTCGCGTGTTACGGATATTGTAAGATTATTATAATACCTTCTGCTAGGGTAGGCATGTAGAAACCAAAATCAAAAAACCGGCCCTTGCGCTCGTTGCAAAAATAAATGTCTCAGAAATGCACAAAAATAAAACCAGTTACGATGCAATTATCCAAAATTCAGGAAGCATTTGAGCGACGTCATCGACTTTGTCTGAAAAGCGAAAGGAAACAAACAGTTGTTCTTGTTGTTGTTGCTAGTGATTTAATTTCAATGCACAACAGCGACAACAATTAGCACAATCACCATTAATGAGCCCTCTTTCGGTATGCCCCCGTCTATACTCTAACCAAACTCTATCGACATGGGGGCTTTCCTGCTATTTAAACTAATTAACGATATCTCGAATACCTTTCAATTATTTAATCGCCCATTTGATGTCAGGTGTTCCGGTCAACTGTTGGGTTTCTTTTCTAGCTGGTTAATGACACAGTTTTGTCTTGTTTATGCTTGGACAAGGCCGTTGACCAAAATCATCAAGAATGCCATCATGAAATTTGATAATGAGGCATGAAAATCATTTAGAATTGAAGATTAAAAACATGTTTTGGGCGTTTGCATTGGCAATGATTTCAAAGCGTAAACTACATGACCGTAAACGTAGAGATTCGATTCATAGGAACTCAATTGGAGGACAAAAGGTATTACTTTTCGTGTTTTAAAAAATTTTTCATATATATATAAGAGATTTATATATAGTTTGCAAACAATTTTTAAACTTAAAGAAATTAAATTGAAATAAAATAGAATTTGGAATGGTTAAGGATTATTTCGAAAAGGTTTTAAAAATATTATAGAATTGACTTTCTTAAATAAAATTTGTTTCTTTTGAAACCTAAGGCATTCTATTCAAAATCAATTAGTCCCAGATTCCATATCAACATATTAACGTTAGATCAAAAAACATCTAATAATTCGATCAATGCGAATCTCTAACAGTAGTGTTATATTTTATTGTTTTTACGGGCTACGATGAATACAATGTTCTCGATATTTACAATTGTTTATCATATAATTAATATAATAACAGAAATTTTCATTTGAAAATGTTTTTTTTTTTTTTTTTCTTGAGTTTCGAATAATAAAAATCGTCGCATTTAACTCGGTCCATACTATATATCTCATTGAATACACATACATATACATTGTTTTTGTTTTTGTTTTTTTATATTTTTTTTTGTTTTTTTATTTTGTTGATTTGTGTATCTATATCTGTTATATTTCCTATTTCCTATGCACTTGCTGCCACGTTTTCTCTATCTCTGTGGTATTCTCTCGTTTTTTGTTTTAGTCCTATCACACATCGCCAGGCAATAAATATTATTCTTGGTTTGTACTTGGGTAAAGAAACATCGTACCTTTATCTGGAAAGTAGAAAAATATAAAGATAATATTAAGATATATTTACGATTTGGTTAGGTATTGAAGCTCACCTGGATTGTTGTAGAAGTTTGCGCTTAGACTAGGTTTTGGTGGAAGTTTGGGTGTGCCCTCATGGCTCGTGGCAATCGGAAAGAATTCCTTTGGGGACGAGCGTCTGTTCGGGTGCTGTGATGGATGCTGATGCTGTGAATGCGTATGCGTATGCGGATGTGAATGAGAATGATGCTGTTGGTGCTGATGCTGGTGATGATGTTGCTGCTGTTGTGCATAAGCCACTGGTTGTTGCGTTTGCGCAATCTGTGGCCTTAGGCGTGTTTGATGCTGCTGTTGCTGATGTTGTTGGAAATTGCTCGTCGTGCTGCCGTCTACTGTGCTGGGAATGTACGGTGACATGGGCGTCATAGGTGTCATGGGTGATGTGGTTGTCGAGGAGCTTAACGCTGGCGAGATCGACTGCGGCGGCTGTTGCAACTGTTGTTGCTGCTGTGGCTCTTCGCTGCCCGCCATTGACTGAGCCATCATTGGAGTTGCGGCAGCACTATTGTTGCCC